AATAATTCTTAAAAAAGGAATAAAACAGTTGAATCAGGTAAATTCAACATGAACTTATAAAACATTTATTTTATTCACGACTTCCCTTTCAACGAGTGACTTTGGACTTCCGCAGATTATGCTTATCTAAGAGGAAATAGGAAATGTATGTTAAGGAAACAGGAATAACTAGAAGAGGGGTATTAATTAATTCTTTCCCTTAAAAAGAGGGTCTAAAAGCAAGGAGATTTGACTTTTGACGGTTTTTTTTTTCCAGTTTTGAAGGTTAACGGTGAAATTTTAGAGCTTTTGGCGCTTGACTGTTATCTAGTGGAAATTTGGTCCAAGATTCAAGAAAATGTTAATTTCTTTATAAATTAATATTAACTGCAAGTGAAAGGTTTGACCCCAGGATCATGCTCAACCTATACTTATTTAACGTCAGACGTGCACACAAATTTATACCCCACCGTAATACAAGGGGGGTGAGTGCTGATGAAACCTCTCCGCAGAGTTTTTTGATATGTTTCAGTATTTCGAAACACTTTTGCCTTCAGTGGAAAGCCTTTGATCTTTCTCAGTGAGGTATATTTATGGGTGGTGGCGCTGCTGGAGCCCTGTGACGTCAACAGCAATGGTCGCCACCTTGGCCGCCATCTTCGACTTTACCAAGAACAAGAAATCAGATTAAGACCGCGATAAATGGTAGTTTTTGTGTGTGACATGTAAAATAACACATAAATAAGCAGTTTGCATCACTTCATCCACAAGCTTTTGAAAGAATTTGAAAAAACATGCATTTTCACTCAAAAATCGCTTGACCACCTGCTAGTTATGACGTCATATCTCGTGACCATAGTAACTAACCATCTCTAAACTTGTTTCAAAATGCGCAGGAGGGATAAACAAAGAGCTACTGAAAATGTTAGTTGCTGATGTTTTATCCTCTAGGAAAAAAAATTAAAAAAAACCTCAGACAGGCGTGGCAGGGAGAGGGGGAGGTGGAAAGAGTATGCCATGCAGATGAAATATAACCGGGCTAATTATGCAGTCTTATATACAAGCAAACTGAATGTTTGAAAACGGAGACAAAATCGTGAAAGACCAAGTCATCCACGGTTAATAGGCTTATGGGAAGAGCTTGCGCCAAAAGGCGGCTTGTGTCGTATTTTTGATAGGGCTATAGATCAGGAAAGGGTTGCGATAAGGCAAGCCTAACCCAATTGTCAGGAGCTCCTGAATTGTTTATTATTCAGAGTTGGGAAAAAATAAATGAAATAATAAATGAATTTGAAATAATAATTATGATAAATACAATATTAATAATAATACCATAGATACAAGTAGTATATTTTTTTCATTTCGTTCGTTATCCAATATATAGTTAAGATAATGTCCGGGCCTGTTGTTATTTGTAGATTTTGAAAAAGCCTTCGATAGTATAGAGTGGTCTTTTATAGAGAAAACACTAAGACACTTTAACTTTGGAACATCCTTGTCAAGCTGGGTTAAACTTTTTTATACGAACATAAGTAGCTGTGTCCTTAACAATGGATGGGCATCCGACTTCTTTTCTTTACATCGTGGAGTAAGACAGGGGTGCCCACTGTCTCCCTATTTATTTATCTTAGGTGCTGAAATCTTGGGTAACGCAGTGAGAAGGGATACAGAAATTCGCGGTATCAAATTGGGTAACTCAGATTGTAAACTGTCCCAATATGCAGATGACACAACAATGATCTTAGATGGCTCAGAACGCTCTTTTTCGAGAACATTATACGTACTAGACATATTTGCAAATGTATCAGGTTTGAAAGCAAACTATGAGAAAACTGAAGCCCTCTGGATAGGTTCACACAAGAATACTAATGCTATTATTCCTTCGAGTAAACCTATCTTTTGGGCAGAGGGAAAGGTCTACGCCTTAGGAGTTTGGTTCTCGACATCGAGGCCAGCCAATATTGACAATAATTTCACTGAGAAAATCGAAAAGATTAAAAAAATCCTCGGGAGCTGGTCGGCCAGAAGACTCACACTTATGGGTAAAATTGCCATTCTAAAAGCTCTAGCAGTATCTCAGATTGTTTACGTTTTATCCTCCCTTCCGACACCGAAAGGGGTCATAAAGGAAATTAACGCTCTGTTATACGATTTTCTTTGGGACAATAAAGGGGACAAAATAAAAAGAACAGAAATGATCAACGATTACAGTAAGGGGGGGCTAAAGATGATCGATATTGCTAGTTTTAACCAGGCCTTAAAAATGAAATGGGTAAAAAGCTATTTAGATGATCAAGATACAGGGAAATGGAAGCTTTTTTTCAATCATCGACTAGCACAATTTGGAGGGAAATTAGTTTTCTGGGGAAACTTAAGCCCTAAAGACGTTCGTTTACTTAATCTGCGAGATCCATTTTTAGCTGAGATTATGGAATATTGGACGACCCTAAATTATAAGGACAACAATCTAGATTTCACGTCAGCTCAGATCTGGCACAACTCCCTCATAAGAATAGAGAACAAACCAATTTTCTATAAATCTTGGTTCACCGCAGGTGTGAAAGATGTTAAAGACATCCTTGACACGGACGGAAAGTCTATATTAAGCTATACTGCATTTACCGCTAAATATAAAATCAAGACTAACTTTCTAGAATTCTATAAGGTAGTATCAGCCGTTAAACTGTTCAGGCAAAAGTGTTCTCAACAACCCAATAGAGGACCCAAAACCAAGACCTTTGGGCAAACATTATTAGCCTCAGAAAAAGCCTGTAAAACCGTTTACAAATCAATTATCGAAAAAAAGGCCACCACCCCTCTTAAAAGCCAGGAAAAATGGCTGTCTAAGGAAAATATAATAGGAAATGCGAATGTGAACTGGGAGAATACATACCGCCTCCCCTTTCTGTGTACAACAGAAACAAAGTTACGAGTGTTCCAATTCATGTTCCTCCACAGACGAATAGCAACAAACGACTTCCTCTTTAAAATCGGCCTAAAACAAGCAGACTCCTGTTCTTTCTGCGGGGAATTTACTGAAACCCTTGCCCACTTGTTCTGGTATTGCAGTTACACTCAAAAATTCTGGAAAGACATTTATCAATGGATAGCTCAAAACACCACCTTAAACAAATCCATTGCCTTCTCTCCTCTTATCTGTCTTGGACTAATTGATAATATCTCTGATTTATTACTACATCACCTTTTCCTTATCGCCAAACGATATATTTACACATGTAAGTTAAATAACTGCAACCCTGCGCTACAGGTTTATATACAAACCGTTATGAACTCCATGGAAATTGAAAAAGAGATTGCCTCTAATAATAACAATATGTCCTCCTTCAAAAACAAATGGAGCCCTCTTAAACTTTGCCCCTCGGACAAATAAACTTGCTGTTATTAAATAATTCCAAAAGTTCCAAAAATTAAAAGTGATGCAGAAACAAATGCAAATGCAAATCACCTTTTAGTTGGTAGGACAGACTCCTTATGTTTTTGTTGTATCGTGTTTTATTTTGCAATTTTGCAAATAATAGTCAATTTTGTAAAATTTTTTAGGCTTAATTAGTTGCAAATGCTGTAACATTGTATTTTCCCTTTATCTCTTGTACGTTGTTTTTATTTTTCCTTCATGTAAATGTAAGTATTGTCATAAGAAGTGTTGTAACCAAATAAATGTTATTTAAAAAAAAAAAAAAAAAAAAAAAAAAAAATATAAAAAAAAAAAAAAACAATAACTTTCTCCCCGACGGGTTAATTTAATAAAAAAAAAAAAAAAAAAAAAAAAGATAATGTCCAAACGATTGGTATCTATGTCTTTCTGCCCGACGGGTTAATCTCATAAAAAATAATAATAATAATAATAATAATAATAATTAAAATTTGAACACATCTACATCTGGGGCTTTTCAGTGATCACATAGGATTTTAAAAAATAATAATTTACAGGATTACAAGAGCAAAATCTATATATACAAGGCCTATTGACATCATTCGGGCGACGATTTACATTTAAATCACATTGAAATAGCTTTCTAACTTGAACTTCATACGGTCAATATATACAATACGAATTAATTATTGTCAATTTCAAAATTTATTCAGAAGGTGATTTTTTAAAGCTCTTTTGAAGGAAGCGGAATTCTTGCATAATTTGATCCATGAATCTAGCTTATTCCAGACAGATACACTTCTTTAATAAAAAAAGTTTTCTGCCGTGTCACAGTTTTAAAATGAGGAATGTTTAGTTGTTGAAAGTTCCTGGTTGTACGTCCAGATACGCTGTCCCTTGTAGTAAACATAGATGTTAATTATTCGGACGCTTGACCCGTCATACATTTAAATTTTAAGGTAGCATCTATCTCGACAAGACAGTTGTGTTTTTACAGGGAGCCAACGTAAATTTCTTAATACAGGAGAGATAATTGTGGTCTACTTCTTTACGTTGCAAATACTTCGCGCGACAAAGTTTTGAACTTATTGTAAGTTACGAACATTTCAGGCAGTGAGGTGGATGACCATACCGACGAAGAGCAATACAGTTTGCTGAAAACGAGCGCGTTTATTACGGTTTCAAGTAACTCCTTATTAAAAACGAATCTAATGCGACTTATTTGAGATAGTTTCGACATGCAAGACGACACTGTAATAGAAATATGATAATTTAATTATCAAAAGATAGTGTGGGATCAAAAATTACTCCAAGGTCTTTGACAAATTATGAACATGCTTAGGTACACACTAGTGTTATTTTGGTTAATTTTATAGAACATTAATCAATACTGTATAAAATTGAAATTATTTGATAAGGCTTGGAATGGCAATATTTGGAAAAAAAATCAAAGTACTTGTACATAAATCAATATGCTCTTTTCCAGTCATTCTAGAATGATCAAATTAGGATGGGAACATCTGGAACTTCACATTACATTTCGATCATGACTAATGTGCACGTATCAAATAAACAGTCATGCAGTACAGTTAAAGAACAAAACAAAACAAACAATCGAGATCTATGCTCAATTTGTCATTGTCCCTATTCTGTCAGTCCGTGAGATCCTACTGGTTTTAAGCATGATTTTGAAGGCTGATCTGAATTTCGGAAGACGCCAGGCGTAGAGAAACGGATTAAGCAAGGACTTCAGCAAAAAGATATAATAAAATATTGCAAACAGGTACATTTCAACAGATGTATGTTCGCTGCAAGTTGGACAAGCTCCAATGACTTGGTAAAGAAGAAACCAAGGTGTGATGCACAGGAGAAAAAGACCCAAGACTGCCATCATAGCCTTTGTCATGTTCCTTTCTCTTCTATATGCGTTCGCTACTATTTGCCCTGAATCATCCAATACACAGGCCCTTTTCCTGTTGTTTCGCAGTGCAAAGTAAATACGGATGTAGAAAATTACGCTTATGAATGAAGGCAAAATGGTATGAGTTCCAGATAGGATATTTATGATGACAATCGGATGGTTAAGCTCTCTGAGCACAGTGCGGTATGCCATGTATATGCAACTGTAAGACCATATCACAATACACCAGATGGTCACTTTTTTCTTGGTGACGACGGAGGGGTAGCTCAATGGCCGCCAAACGGCAATATAACGATCCAAAGACAACGCGACAACATGCAAAACCGATGCAACCAAGAAAAAGGAGCAGACAGCCTCTATAACGTGAGCGGCGGTCGATGAGAACGTTAAAATCCACCAGCTACACAATGGGTCATGGATTAGGCCAACAAAGAAATCTGCAATGGCTTGGCTGGCGATCAGCAAATTGGACGGCACCGTTTTCAAATTTCTACTCGGGTCTTTGCAAATCGCACCGACTACCAGCGCGTTCATTAGCGACGTGGCCAATGCTGTGATAGCAACGAAAACCGCCCAGAAATATTTCAGATCGAAGTTTCCCTCTCTCCATGATTGATTCATTCGGCTCAATGTAATAACGTTCACCATTCACAATTTGCCATTGACATAGAGGAGGCCCTCATGTTGGGATAACAATGAAACTCAAAACAGTCTTAAACTGATTAAATTTCTTTCAGATTTCCTTTCTCAATTTGAAACTGTTGGTTTTGAAAGACAAACATCCTCTTTGAATGTATCAGACAATCAAAAATACAGGCGACAGCTGTGTCATTTAGGTTTTATACAATGGTATCAAACCCACAAGGAGCCTGTCAGAAACGATTGTTTTTGATTCTATCAAATTAATCGAATTTACCTTGTTTCCTTTTTTCATGGAAAAAAGAACAAATGCTTGATTTTTTTACGAACAGGTGACAACCGAAAGAAGTGAAAAAAAAAATTAAAATCTTTACAAACGAGGGCAAACTTATAATTAGAACTCGAACTTTCTTGTATTGCATATTATTATTGTTATTGAGCTATTTTGAAAAAATAGCTCATATGTCAGTGGTGTGAGCGTATGTATCTTTGTGGCTTTGTAACTTTGTGGCTTTGTATGTTGGGATGTTTGTTGCAAGAGCCAATAAGGTTGAAGGTACTATGAGTTGATGGTTAGGAACCAATGAGATCTTGGCATCTATTTAAACATGGCATTGGTAAAGGTCGAGCAAGGGCACTTTGAGACCGCCATCTTGATCCTTCACAATGTTTTCGTCTTTTATTACGGGTACAGGTGTTTGGAAGCATTACATAAAATATCTTCATGATTCAAACGCTGTGAACAGTGATGCAGCTGTTTAAGGGTTCATATTTTAGTGTGGATGCTGCTTCAAGACATTTGTGACTGATTCGGCTATCGCGAACGGTACAACGCACGTATTTATGAGTTGCGTTTCACCCGCTTCAAGTTAGAGTATAAAAGATCATATATTTTCCAAGCTCTTCCAGTGAAGCAATAATTGATATTTAGATATGGACTTTAATTTGAAAGTATGCGGCCTATAAAATGTGGTTTTACAGGGTTGAAAGGCCGTTTTTTTTTTCAAAGCTGTACCGAGTATTGTTAATTCTTTAAATAAGCTTTAAAAATATTATTCTCTCGCTTACAAAGTTCAACAGACCTTTTTTTTTCGTTCCGGCAAAACAAAAAAATAATAATAAGTGAACAACATGATACATCCTTCCTGCATACTAAGCATTATAGTTATAGAAACGTATTTTATTTAGTAAAGATGAGTAACTTAAGTAGAAACAACCGCGTTAGGGAATACAATTGGAAGAAGCTAGTTGACACAATAATTAGATACTGTCTTATTGAGTGGAGTAACATGATACGAGCAGAGATATATTTCGGCAGTTTGGTAATTTTCTTGGAAGTTAATAAATGTTAGGCTATCAACCTTGACATGGCATGAAACATAATTTAATTGCAGATGTTGTAATGAAGCCGAGGTGATTTCTTAAAATCGTAGAATAAATTTTGTAGTAAACAATTTGCGTTTTTTTACGTACGAATTGTAAGAGGGCCAAAGACCAACATCTTCACGTGCAAATTGTGTGCATGAGTTATTTTTATAATTCTGTTTACTAGATTACCGTGTGATAACTCGAATTCCCTCACGTACGAACAACGAAAGGGGGCAAAGTCCAACACTTTCACGTGCCAGTTGTGTGACTGTACATCTCCTGCAGATGGCTTTTCACAATAATAATAGTTACTTGAACGTATGAAGACCTGTTTCGTTTTGTAACCAAAGCCTTAAAAAAGGCTCTTGTCTTTTAAGAAGCAATAGCTTTTAAAACATGAAGAAATAAGTTGAAGGAGTTAAGGACTGTTTCACTGAGAAGAATCGCACGTGAAAACCTCGTGAATTGTGATGATGCAACCATCTACCACAATGATAGGAATCCTGGTATTTCTTAACTACTCGAATTCGATGAGTCACATTTTGGCTTAAGAAACTCCGAGGAAACCTTAGAGTTTTCCTTCTAATCAACGTTTGGTGAGTAGATATTTATTTTACTTTAACTTGCACCAAATGTAACAGGGAAAGGCAGGGGAAAGTGAATATATAGCATGAGGATCGACGCATCTGAGCGTTTCGCGTTTTCATTTATATACGGCAATACCCAATTTCGCACAAAAACCCAGTCTACATTTAGGACGAAAAAGGCAGATTCATCACTCTTGGTAAGGTTACACTGAAGCATTTAAGTTACACTGAAGCATTCAAAATAGCTCATGCACGTTTAACGTGCCTATGTTAATATCATAGGTGACGAATTACTCCTTAATTTTTGGCGCGAAATTTCAGCGTTAATTTGTAATTTCACATGTGAAATTACAAAATTGCCATTGCAACCTTCCGTACGTCTCAGTGTCAAGATGGCGACGAAGTTTAAAAAAAGCCGTGAATGAAAATGTCAGGGCACAAAAAGACGCTTTAGAAAACCTGAACACACAAGAGAACATCAAGAAGGATTCTAACAGGTATTTTGCCGAAATAGTCCGAAAATTTCTGAACTTTATAAGCCAAATTTAAGGTCTAAACATTTGAGAGAGTGAAGTTCTCAATCTATACGATCCAGGATAAACATGTCAAAAATCCAAGATTGCTAACGTAATTCGTCGCCCATGATATTAATAGGTAATCAAATGGTATACTCGTGAAATTATTCCCTAATTTCACTCGTCACCATTTGATTACACATACTTATTAGTAGTATAATTATTATTATTATTATTATTATTATTATTATTATTATTAGGAAAAATGTATCAGACTTATTTTAAGCAATATCGTACTTACAGTTTTAAACACAGCGAAATTTTGGATCATTTTGGATACCAAAAATTGATTTTGTTAACTCTGTAACTCAAACGAAGCCAAAATACTACAAAGAAGACAAATTGAATTATAATGCTCGCAGATCTTTGTCAAAAAAATGCTTTTGTGTATTAACAATTTACAGTGCGGACACTCGAACCATGAACACCAACACATTTTTTCCCGCTTTTTACTTATCATCCAATCACAGTCCCGGTTCATAACGAGATTGCTGCATTAATTAACTTTACGATAATATTTAACAATTATTCTTTGAAATTGAGGTGAATAGTGGCTAAATATTCCTAAAGCCACTATTCACCGAGATTGAAAAGAATAATTGTTTTAGTATATATGTTGTAGTTAATATTTTATCTCAGGTAATTTTTCTTTTTCTTTTGTTTTTGGCTATGATAATGTATGCTAATGATGTTTAAACAAAAGAAAAAGAAAAATTACTTGAGATAAAAAATTAACTACAACATATACACACGAAGTGATCCCAGCAAAATCAGAGAGGAAACCATTAAAAAGTAGGATTGATTGACAGATCAGGTCAGCTAGACACGCGAAACTTTAAAAATAGATCTTTGTAGAATTTTCCAAGATGGCAATTCACAAGCTTATCACTTCGCAAACAACAGCGTAATGACTTAAATGGAACCGCTAAACTGAGTTTGAACTGTTTCCTTACCTAAGAAGGAAAGAAGAGCTTTGTTGTTTTCCGTTGACTCGCTCGCCAAGTTTATAGCCGAAAAGGTTTGGGTGTCGTTCTTCGCATGAAGTGCTGACAAAAATAGCGATTCGATTCCTCAAGGCAAGACGTCGTCTTCATGTAGCATTCTTTGTCCTATTTACTTGAAACGTAGAATTTCTGCAAACATTTGCTTTCATATTTGTTTGTCATAAATACACTTCTTTTTTGGGCCAAATTTTTCTTGTTACGAAACGCTGAGCCACGAAAAGGTCTCTTCTAGGCGAATAAATGGGAGTTGTAAACAATCCATCGACCACAAAACTCAACTACAGTAAATGGAAAAACGTCGTTTTCAATCCTTCGAAGTCTTTTCTTGCCTGAAAAAAAGTCAACCCTAGGATTTTGTCTACTTTCAACAGATCGTTCTCTAAAAAAACATGGAAAAAAACCGAGCTCACACATTATTCACTCCCTAGGAGGTGAATATTGTTGAAAAGTCCAAGACAGCGAACCAATCAGATTGCTTAAATCACCAAGATCACTGAGTGTGTATATACTAAATAGATTTAGCCAGGGCTAAAAGCGAGGCTCCCATTAATAAGTTTACAATTTAAATCAAACAATAGACTTGTATTCCACAATTGAGTTAACTTAATTTAGAGCACATAGCACATTCATGTGACTTTACAGGGCAAGGCTAAGTGATTTAAGAGGAAAATAATTTGCAAACAGTCCAAACTAAGAGTGAACTTAATCTTACATCGAGTTGATAGCCTCATACTCTACACCCAAAAAATAGCAATCATCTTCGAACACATTTAAGAGCCATAATGGCTCTTGATCACCGTAGATTAATTAGGCCTGGAAAAAAATAAGGCCGAATTTTGACAAGTTTACTTTACAAAATCTTGCCAACAAATCTGGGTGCGTGTAAACCAACCTTTCTACCATTTATACATCACATCTGAGGTGAAACAGTACTATGAGGTACTGTTTCTATCATACAGACCTCCGACAGAATGCAGTATTTCACAATTTTGCAATACAAATTGGACTCACTCATATTCAGGACCATCGAGGCACGCGTGGGCTTTTAGCTAGACCGTTTTTAAAAAAAAAAAATTTCAACATCACCTATACGGCCAGCCGGTTCTCACTTTTTGCTGTGCGAGCTGTAGCGAGTGTTTCAACGAACATAAATAGAGTTAAGCTCCAACATAATAAAGAATGTATTATGTTTATTTTTTTTTTATTTAAACGTTTTATCGATGTATAATCTTCTAAAGCGTTTGATACGCGCGGCATTTTGAGTACTCCTGCAAGCAATGTACACTGAACGACTGAGAACAAACGGCACAGCGATTAGACTACCAACAATCAATAAAATAAATATAATTCGGTGAAACATAAACAGAGACAACATTTTTCATTCACGAACCCGTACCAAACCAAACACTATTTTTAACATATTTTTGATATATTTTTAAAACTGTTTT